AGATGTCATTTTTTAAACATTCGTAAAATTTCTTGTTTTGTATATTTAGTGTTAAAATCTTGTAAACCAAACTAAAAATTGAAATACAGAAAATGTTTTAGCCTTTACTATTAAAGTCTGTTACCGATTTAATTTTGACACGGTGCAACTTCCCCCATTCCTTATTGGCAAATAAAAGGCCTTAACAAAACGCTAAAAGTATAAATAAATTTCATCTAAAGAAGTCAATATGCTTTATTTCTTTAAAAAATCGGTTGTCTGTAAAGTCGGTTTACTGACGATAGTTGAACGTGACAACGTCATAAGAAAATACTGATGGAATGGTTTCATTTTTCAAAAGAAAATTTTAATTTATTTGTTTGATAGATATTTGTATGGATATAAAGAAGGAGGTAAATGGAAATGTATTATTGTATAGCAGCTGTCCACACGGACGCATCGCTCACTCAAGTAGGAGAGAGACAGATGTGGAACGCTGCCGAACGCGGAGGCCGATTGTGTGTCGCTCGTTCCGCGCTCTCGCTTGCACTTCAAGCCTTAAATGGAACGCCTCAGAGCGAGGTAACGCCGCATGAGTCATATTTTTTAGTGCGTGCAGCCGGCTCCATCGAATTATAAGACGTTGTCACGTCAAAAACTATTAGATCATCACAGACAGATTTTAAAGGATATATGAAATAACGCAACCGCTATTCAAACCTCAGTATTTTACCTTGCTACTTTTATCTGCTTCGAGATCCAATTAATGTTTACCTCCCTTTTATGTGCTAAGCCAAACGAACGCTATACGTACATAGGTTATCGAGATAATAAAGTTTACAGTTAGGCAGCAGCAGTAGCAGTTCATATGCGGACAGAGGAAGTAACGAGACGTTAATTTGCAGTTACTCGCTGCCCTCTCGCAAAGTTATAAGACAGTTCCCGTGAAGCGTGACGCATCTCGTGGAAGAAGAACAACGGCAACTTGCCATATATGAAAAGGTCATGATACTTTAGCGTTAGATAGATTCGACTTTATTATACTCGTTCAATCGCTCAAGTTGAGAACAGGATCTAGGATCAAACTTAATTCGATTATTTTCATTTTTCAACTGGAACACCAGGAATCCCAAATACTTCGTTATGACAAAATCTACTCAGCGAAATATAAATCCAAGGGATAAACTGTTTCGAAATGAAAAGTGCAGTCGATTCGTTTGATGAAGATACTTCTTATCATATTTAAATTTTCGAGGATGAACTTGCTATGAAATATATTAACATCAGAGGGAAGAAAATTAAATAAAACAATGTAGGTCAACGGAAAGTATCCCACAGGTTTGAATTCGCTTATTGATTATATCCTAAGCAAACACATACCCAATAAACGAATTAACCAAATAAAGTTCTTATTTAATTATTTAGAATTATTAGGAGAGTTACGCTAGGAGACAACACAACGAATCCACGCATGCATAAATATCGAAAAGCACAGGGGGTTGGTCATTGGGAATACACTAGTTACTCCAACTTTATGTGTTTTGATTGCGTTTATTTAGTCGTCCACTATGTTGAAAATGAAATGAAAATTACAGCAGGGCCAGTTGGCGTGCGTCCCGAAGAATAAATAATAAAAATAAAACCTTTTATTTCTTACAATACAAAAAATAAACTTTTTTTGATTATCTGAGAACAGAGGACTCTATGGTTGGATAGGATAGGTTGGTAGGACACCTTCTCAGGCATGAAGGTCTAGTCAGAGTCATATTAGAGGCAGAAACAGGAGTTAGGAGGGGTAGAGGCAGATCTAGATTAGATTACTGTTCGCAAATAGTTAAGCATGTGAGTTGTTCTAGTTTTAGGGAAATGTAAAGTTTAGTTCAGCATAAGAAAGAGTGGAGGCACGTGTCCAACCAGTCTTAGGACTGACGACCTTATGATGATGATGATGAGTCTAGTACGTTTAGGACTTGTATTTATAGATTATATGTAAATATTTTTCTATTTATGTAAGAACCCCTCGTTCTCAATGGTGAAGGCCTCCTCTAGAGATTTCCAAGTATCTCTGTTCTTCGCTTGTATAATATCGTCAGTCCAACGGGCAGTTGGTCTACTTCTCTTTCTGGTGCTTGGTGGACCCTTCTAGGGATGTTACCCTGGCGGTCAATATATTGTCTGTTACTCTGGTTATGTGTCCAGTCCAATGCCACTTAAGCTTTTTGCAATGAATCAGAACGTCTGGCTGTCTTCTTTCGAATTTCAATATGGGGTATTTTTTGAAATCTTTTGATTTTTAACATACTCCTTTTCATTCCTCTTTGACACGTCCTGATATTGGCTTTCGCTTGATGTGTGAACTTCCAAGTTTGACTGGCGTAGGTTAATGATGGCAATATACAGGTATCCATAACTTTTTGCTTAATTTTGATCGACATCTCACCTTTCATAATTTCTTTCGAAGAATAACTGAACTTAAATGATTTACTTTAATAAAGAATAACTATCATCCAATGCGGATCAGTAGGCACTACAATCTGAGTCGCCACGTCTCTTTGGTCCAGTTGTATGTAGTTACTGTTCGTTTCAAGAAGTTAGAGATATGCCCCTTCCCTTTATTAGGATGCGCCGTAGCATAATTCCAAATTCAATCATATTTGTCTGCGAAGCTCATTTCTCCACCGATCATCGAAGAACTAGACAAAAGTGTACAGTACCATTTGCAAAATTATTTAAACTGCCTCGTTAAATTTTAAGAATTTGCTTTATTTAAAAGCATATTTAGCCAAAAATAATAACAAGTGAATTAACTTTCTAAACACCTATAAAACTTTTGCTTTGTTTTCTATTGTTAATTTATATACATTTAAATTGCTAAACATTTTCGTCTAGTACTGTACAGTTCTAGCTGATCTCCTAAGACCGTCCATCGAGAGCTCTGCTCGTTCAAGTTTGTTCCAACTATTTCTGTCTTGCTCACGCCTGGTGTGTATTCTTTCTATCTTCGCGCAGATTTCTTCAAGGTCACAATTCTAACAAATTGAAATGGACTGTAGGTACGTATAGTCACAGTTGTTGCTATCACCTCTCGTAGCTTAGTGGTAGAGCAATGGTGTGTAAAGTCAGGAAACCGTGAGAGCAGCAACAATTTTTCTTCATTAATTTGAACTAATTTGTAGTGATAAAAAAATAATTCACTTTAATGTATTGAAATTAACCCTACAAAACTTCTTCTAAATGTCTCTTTTTTAATATTCGTTAGTTGCCTGTACGATTTAACGCTGGGCCTTGTTTACATCAAAATTTTACTTACTATAAAAGAAATATTGTGATGGCATTACTACGCAGTAGACAACGGGAGGATGCGGGGTTAGGGCGTCCTTATCGATCACGAACCAAGAGACGAATGAAGGACGAAACCAACGTAGACCTCACGTTATGAGCCATTTAGTTTGCGAAGCTATTTCGATCTTGGGTGACACAAATCATCCCTTAGGAGTTGGAAGGGCGAGAGCATGGAAAAATGTTCGTTCGATTTTTGCGGTTCGTTTATTATTCACTAGCCGAAGCTGTAAATTACCGACGCATTTGTGCCTTATCAACGCCTACTTCAAGGGAACTAACTTACCAACGGCGACGTTCTCACCCCATTTTGCGCAAAAGAAGTCATCCCCTTTTCGGTTAACAGACAAAGGGGACAAATTGGACATTAAATAATCACAAATAAGTGAACCACCAAGTTAATATCGCGTAGTAGCTGTTTCTTTTTTTTTTTTTATTAAAAATTATCTAATTGCCAGTGGAATATGTAATAACCGAGGAATTTAAAACGGTTTCTTTCCCATTCAATATCATCCACAGATAAATTTTATTAATGATTTCAGCTTAGATTGGCATTTAATTACTACTAAGATCTCTTTTCTTATATTAATGGGATTAGGTATTATTTTCAACATAAATCGGCTAGTGTCAAAAAAGTAAGAAAAAAAAAATTACAACAAGCGAAAAAGAATATTAAGTATCAGCTTCTAATATTTTCTTTTACAATCTGCTAAACATCTTAACTACTTTGAGTTTGTGATAACCGAATTTAATCAATAATTTTCATAAATAGTAAATTGATAATAGCCATTGTTATACGTAACTTTAGGCATCATCATCATCATCATAAGGTCGTCAGTCCTAAGACTGGTTGGACACGTACGTCCACTCCTTCCTATAGGCATAAACGTGGCAGAAGATCATAATCATAATCATATTCTCTGCAATTTCAAAGAACCCCTTAGATCTTCACGAAAAACTCATTGAAATTTTGGATTCTGGTAGTTCCCCACGTGTAGATCAAGAATCTCAATGGGCGTTAAGTTGTAAAAACTCATCTTTTTGAGATATGGTCCTTTAAGTTGAATTCTTCCGTGAGAATTTCCCAGATACCATTTTGCCTTTTATAAGTATTGAATACGTTCAAGTATACGTATGTCGATCTATACCTGTATTGGATATTATGAATGTGTCATGGTTTCAGACCAGGGGTGGTAATGACCTCTGCAAAAGTGTAGCATTCCTCAACGTTTTAGTGTACCTACAGAGAATGTTGGTGTACTCGGACATCAACATAAAATCTATAGTTTATATGACGCATGAAAAGTAAAAGTATAGTTGTAACGAAACATTGGTAAGTTGAGTTTAATATTCTGTGTTGGTGTCTGATTACACCTCTCAGTAGACTATATCCATAATATGCAATACATGTAGGTACAGATAGTACATCAACATATGCATATATGTACACTTGAACGTATTTAATAGGTATGACACAGTCAAACTTATTGTGTTAATACTGTCAATACGAATTTACGATAATAACCTTTTGTACTATATCAAAAGTTTTATTTTTGATGTAATGTACGAATTTTTAAGGTCTCCTCCATTACGTTATTACCGAGTTTTATAGTATTTCAATTAAGAAGACAAAAGATACGTTAGAATTCATTGCTTTGCAACTGTAATCAAGATTTTCCTACCTTTTGGACCATTGGAACGTTCGTTCTTTAACAACCATTAAATTTACCAGTGCTTTGAAACGTACCTAAAACAAAAAAAATTGTAATTTTCAAGCAGTTATACTTTTATTGTAGAAAAGAGTTATGACACCTAAGAAGGATAAGAAATAGGGTTCCAAAGTTCCTGATGCTTTTTACAAAGAGTTCTGTAGAACAAAATTGCGCAAAATTCTAAGATTTCAAAAAATTTCTTTATCAAGTTTTGACAGGAGTTTTGGACATGAACTAAGGGGGTACCATTAACAAACAGTATGTAAATCTTGCTTTGTTGGAAATTAAGCGATAAAAATTCAGATATACGACCTCCGTTCGAACAGTATCTCAAATTTTGAATTTCCGCGGGTGACATACATTCGATTTTCGTTTGTTTTTTTTGCGTTATGTTGGTACTAATATCTCTCCCTTATACCGACAAGTTCGGCCATGTTGAATGTTCATTTAATTTTTGGACGTGTTGTGGCTCGTCTTCGATTTTTGTCTATTCCAAAAAATGGATCAAAGAATATGTATCAAATTTTGTGAGAAAAACAAAATTAAGTGCGAGGACGCATTTCCGAATGTTGACTGAAGAGGACCATGAAAGGACGACGCTACGCTACGATTGAGGAGATAAAAACGGCTTCGAAGAAGGAGCTGACAAGATCACAAGAAATTATTTTTAAAGTGCTTCGAGAATAGGAAAAAACGTTGGCACAGATGCATAATATCTAGTGGGGATTACTTTGAAAAGGACAATACAGATTTTGCGATACTTTTTGAATAGACCTCGTATACATACATACATACTATTTTACGCGGCTTTATCTTGTACGTGTAGAAATAATGGAAGAAAAATGCTAAAAGCAATAAAATTCGTATGTATACAATACTTAGTCACTCATTTTCTTTTGAGCCTGGATTTTAATGAAGAAATTATTTATTTACATAACCTTACTATTTCCCAAAAGGATTAAATATGAAAGGTTCGACATTAGAACAACGTAAAAATTTTGAAACCACATTCAAAATTGGTTATGTCAATCTTACAAAGAAATATTACATCGTTATAACAGATAGGAGCTGCTGATTTTCTATTCACTGGCGTTCGCTTAAAAGGATCGTGCGTTACATCCAAGTATGAATCGCACGGATTTAAATAAGCCATAATTTTGTTCTTGAAATTTCGTTCATTAAAGACAATCGTTGTTTACAACCCGTGTTCGTTATAACCGAGTTCCACTGTATATTACTTTAAGTTATCATATAATTGGTATTTAAACTATTACGTTTTAGATTTTCCATTAGCTTTTTATGTCGTCGCAGACTTACTTCGGCCGCTCTCTGTTAGTTAGTTTTATTTTTCAAGTGTAGCGTGAAACAACAATAAAAAGAGGAAGAAGAACTTGCCGTTTCTCAAATGAAGTTACACTGACGCGAATTTAAAGTTTCACAAACAGCCCTGCAATTGCCTGGTCTCCAACACTCGTCGTTCCGAATACGACCGTCTAACAATTTGATGGCGATAAAAGTTTCCGTGAAAGTTAAAACGAGAACTTTCTGTAATGGCCTACGTTAGTAATACATATATATATGTATGTAGGTACATGCATACATATGTACAAAAGAAAAACGAAAAGCAACTCCAACAAGGCGGCGTCATACTTCTTCCTCTGCATTAACTTCTCTAAAACGCTTGTTGTTTTCCTACATCCTATTATTTTTCTTGAACCCAACAAATAATAAAACGAAGCACTTCCGTAGTTTGTTCTCTATTGTATATGCAACCCCTTTGATGTTAGCGTGGCAAAATTAGCAGCAAAATACTTACACAAACCATTGAATAATTAGCCGTGAAAACCAAAATTAGTCGCGACCCGGGAAACCCGAAAACAAGTTGCATTTACATGCTAACATCAAACAACAAAGCATGAAAGTCTAGTCAGAGACATATTAGAGGCAGAAACAGGAGTTAGGAGGGGTAGAGGTAGACCTAGATTAGATTACTGTTCACGACTAGTTAAGGATGTGGGCTGTTCTATTTCTAGGGAAATGCGAAGTTTAGCTCAGGATAGGAAAGAGTGGAGGTACGTGTCCAACCAGTCTTAGGACTGATGACCTTATGATGATGATGATAGTAACGAGGAAAGCAAGACTAAAACCGTCCCAGCCTTATAATTGGTCTTGGTCTACTTATTCGGTCTTGCTATTGCTCTGTCTTGCTTATTCGGTCTTGGTCTTACTCAACTACTTCTAGTTTTGGCCTTGGTCTTGCTGATATAGTCTGGATCTTGGTCTCGCATGTTAAGTCTTGGTGTTGCTCACTTAATCTTTACTTACGTTTTTATATTGTTCTTCTAAGCACAAATGTTTCTATTTACCAACATTACAATTGTCTTAAATTTTCTGTCATATATGCGAACTTGTCAGGACTTTGAACGATATAGTACAAAATATTTAAAATAAGTAACTAAAAAATGTCGAAAAAAAAATTAGTTTGTCTCTATATTTAAACCATGTCTTATCCAGACATAGAAACAAAGAACACATACACCGAGGATATTCTTGTAGATCCCTTTTTTCAAACAGTGGTAAAGTTTCTTTTTTATATATTTAGTGTGAAGGAAAAGAATATATTAAGGATGCTTCAAATAGTGTAACTCATGAATTCAAGTAATAATTTTTCGTTTTAATCTTGGTTTCAATCTTGGTCTTTTTCGTTCGGTCTTGGTTTTGGTCTTGTTCCTTCGATCTTGGTTTTCGTTTTGCTAGTATAAAGACAATCTTGGTCTTGATTTTCGCAAGATAAATACTATAAGACCAAAATCAAATTTGTTCATCACTACCGCTAATTAACCTTATTATGAGCTTGGTTCAAGTTGTCCAGGCTTTTTTAACCAATTTTACAGTTTTTGAGCTAATTTTCGGCTAATTATACAATGACTTCTACATTTGCCTGCTAGTTTTGTCATGCCAACTTCAAAGGAGTTTGTATGCAGGTACTAATATTAAAAATTAAAAATTATATCTTAGAGATGCCCGGCTATTAATTTGCCCAACCTTACCGACCAATCAATCAAACCAAACAATAAAATTTAGTGGTTATTTTCATATGGTAAAATAACGTTAAATTTCAAAATGGATGCGACAAGGAGAAATAATGAATATTTAAACACATTTTCTTAGCATATTGAACAAAATAACTGCAAATCATTAAAAAATAAGGGTGGAGTTTTTTACGAAACTAGGTATAAAAAATTAATCGTGACAATAATGGCATGAAAATACATTAATGACAGATTTGATTAAACTTTGACATTTCCAAAGCTCTTTTCTGTTTTATTTGAGAAGTTCAGCTGAAATTATTCTGGTCCAATGCTTTATAAAGACAATTCCAATATGATTAGAAAAAAGCGTACGTATACGAGTAAAGCCGTTTATGATAGTATCTAATAAAAACGGATTAACTATTGGTCAGTAAATTATCCAAACTAGGAGGCGTAGATAGCACAATATACTAAGTCACCATAAATTACCGATTAAATAGAAGATGTTGCATATCAGCATGTTTATATGTATAATATCGAGTACAGTATAAAGTTGTTTAAGCAATTTATACTGTAGAAGACTTTTTAACATCTTTCCTCATTTTTTAGAAGATCCTTCATCGACTCAGTGTAGTCTCAAAGATAATGCGGCAAATCTGACCACGGATTCGTGTTCGGGATGAAAAAAATGAAAAAGATGACATGGACCGCATGATAAATACGTATCTCTAAGTACCTAAATTTTTCACTTTCCTGAAGGTTCTTCAGCGATTTGCTGAAGACGACTAAAATGTCATGAAGCTATACTAAGCACGAATTCGTAATCAGAAAGTAAAAAATACATCAGAGAGGATAATCCGCATTTAAATTCCAGGCTGTATTTAAGTTATTCTTTCAGTTCGACCATTTATTTTCAACAATCTGTTTTGGAAGAGTTTCGGAATCTTAGGGGCTATAAGACGATCACTTTTCTATTTTTAACCAATTTACACTACATATTAATGTAAAATCGATTTCTTTTTGGAATAGATATTTATAATAAAGTATTAATGTTAAAATTGCGTTTTTCACATTCACCAAATATAGATTTTTTACTAATTGAAAATCTATAATAGTATGATAGTAGTATATCATTAAATTTCTTGAATTGTACATCAATCCTCAAAGCTTATAGCCCAGTGTTGTCCCCTTACAGTTTAAACTTATACTTCCTATCTTAAAAGGAATTGGAAGCTTCTACATAAATAGCATGAGGATTACATATAACCACATGAATCCCAACATGTAGTTAAGTAAATACGACTCCTGAAGCGGAATAATATGTACGAGAAATGTAGTAAGTTCTCTAAAATAAATCAATAAAGTATAAATTAAAGAAATAAAACTAGTACCGCACTTGTAAAGAAGCATTTGATAAGGATCATTTTTGGTACAATCTAACGTGAGTTTGAAGATGAACTGGTTTTTTGCAGTTTCTTATTCGAGATTCATAAAATAATCTCACCGACTTACAAAAATGTTTTTCAAGATTTAATATCATTTGTTGAGATTCTCTGTTTTCTTAATATATGAAATACATAGGGTAGCAATTTACCTTAGTATATAACTACTCTTATGTTGTAATATACAAATATATAAAAAAAACTAGAAATTGCCGATTTTCGATAACTACAAAGTCAGATAAGTCAAGACGGAAAATGCGGTAGTCATGAAACAAAGAATAGCGAAGTTGTCGAATTGCACTTATGTGCTCGCACACGGTTAATATAGAAACTCAAAAAATGTTGTTTCTCTTGGCGAAATTCATGATTCGAAACACATTTAAAATAACATAACATTGTTGATGTTTAATATATCGAAATTAGAACTTCAAAATGAAGAAAACGCTAAACGAAGCACTCATCTCTGAGGAGTTTCCTAACAGTATTAATCTCGTTGCAGTGCTACACATAAATGGGATTCCTGTTTAATATAATATCTACATGCAAAATTTCATTAATATT